CCACTGCGCAATGGTGAGAGAGTCATTTCACGGCGGGCTCACTGCGCCTTAATTTATGAGGGTCAAAAGGTCATTTCTGGGCGGAGCAGTGATGCTTTCCAACACGATGATGTTCTAAAGAGGAAGGTCACGCTGAAATGCCTAGTAAGCTAGCGAGTCAAGTCGAGTCAGACACCAGGGTCGCAGGGTGCACATTCGCCGGCGGCCCGCTGGCAACGGTCGCGACCGGCCCCGTCGGGTATTGGCGGGCGGGCTCTTTACGCCCCGTCCCGCTTGAAGAAAAGAGTTGGCAGTCCCGGACGTCTCGGAATAAAAACAATCTAGACTACATGTAATTATGGTCGCGTGACTCTACCGTCCGATACCATGTTTGGAACTGATAATGCCAAGCCAGTCTGAGGCTATTCACAACTATGACATGGACGCGATTCAGACTGACCGAACGCCGAGGAAAAAAGTAGCCTTGGTTGGTTGCTCTCGTATTTTCTTCTCCCCTTCTCGAGCCACTGTAGCTACGATGCGGTAAAAACGCCGATGCTTGAGAACCATCCGAGGTGAGCAGAGAAGGGACAGCTTACTGGCCTTTGCTTGGTAAAGAAATATCCGTGGCGGTCGCTGGGGTGGTGTCATGGGCAACCCCCCCCCCCCCCCCCCCACGGGGTCGACAAGACTGTTGGCCGCTTTCTAAACGGCCCGGCCACAGCCCCCCATGACGAAGAAACGGCCAACCAGTTTTGTCACTCAGGGGACCCCAGCAGCTTTCTTTACTTGGCAGTCTGCAACCAATCGAACAAAAACAATTACAAGTTCTATGTGCAGGCCCTTGTCGACTTCCCCTCGTCGGGTGCAAGCATGCATTAAAGCAGCGATTGACGGGCAGCTGCAGCTTGCCAATGGCAGATGACTTGATGAGTGGCGCATCTCGTTGGCGGGATGGAATCCTGTTTTACATGTCGTCTCTCTTTGGAATTCTTTCATTTTTCTTCTAAAAAAAAAACCCCCCCGAACATAGATTTAACCATGCTACCGACCAGACATGGCATTGGAGGCTGAGCGAAGACTAACTACTGATGTAAAGGTCGAGTACAGTGATTACAGTGGTCACGGTGATTACAGGCATTGGGTCGAATTAGCGCATCGCGACGTCTAGGGTACTGCCGAATGATTCTCGCAATTGGAGCCCCGACATAGCACATAATCATTAAAACTTCCACGATGCCGTCACAGTACATCGAGGAAACGTCCAGCTCACCCAATACCCTTGGTACATGTACACCCTGGATATCGGTCAAATGAGCGCATATAGTTTCTTCATGCTTTGCTGCCAGCACGCCTTTGCCAACCAAAAGTATATTCGTGAGAGAACAAGGTCACTTTAGATAAAGCGCCATAATAACCATGGGTGTGAAGTGATTTGACACCCTAGCGTTGTATCTGCATGTAGATCCCAAGGGGAAATTTGCTTGAATGATTAACGAATAAGCGCGGCTGGGCTCAACTGATACTGATCGATTCCATCACTTGGTACATTTGGACAAGTCAGATCTAGTGGGGCTGTTCTTCTGGTGCTTGTTTGTTGTTGGTTGCATAGCTTCAGTGACAGCCCGGCGATTTGAAGACTTGGCAGCTCCTGGCTCACGGCGACGGCCTGGTGCACAAGGATCGAACCCCCCCATCCGGTTTTTCATCGTCATCCGGTGCTTCTTTCGATTTCGCGGCAAGGCGTCTAGATCGCCGTGGTAGAGCTAGCTTCAGACTCATCGAGCTCATATCCGTCGCAAGTGCGTTCTCGTCCGTTAAAGTACTCGCATGGTTCTCGAATGTAACTTCTGACTTTTTGTTGAACTGTCTCGCCAAGCTGACTGTTTGTATTAATAGTCTGAAGCCTGAGTTGATGCACTTCTTCGCGTTTTTCTTGGGCTGCGTCACGTTGTTTGCTCGATTTCTTTTAGCCACCGTACCAGCTCCCTTATACGGCTCGCAAAGCCTCCATTCGAGAGAGACACGTCATAGATAGCTCAAAGGTCAAAATCTATGCTCTTGGGGGGGTCATTTGGTGTTGTTGCTGATGGCCATTGTGATTTTACAAGAGGCTGCGAGGCAGAAAACGATTCAAAAGTGGGTCCACGCTCCTGCCTAAGTGCTCTCAAGGTATCTATCTGTACCATGCGGAGTAATTATATAGAAAAAGAAATGTATCTTTTTCCGTATTTATCCCGATTTCGGTCATTCTATGTATCTTGATAATCATCTGATTACTCATTTACTCATTTATGGGCTTTATATTATTGTACACTGTTTCATTCTAGGGAGGCTAGAAATTTTCTCTCAAAAACCTGTTGTTTTTGTGTTTTTCCAGGTGTAACGAGGCGGCTTGAATGAGGGTGTGGCCGGAACGGTAAGTTGCCGACCCTAAGTATCTAGTAAGTGATTTTGTGCTCACTTTGTGACGGGGCCTTGTAAATCTCCTACCTGATAAAATTAGACCGGCGCCTACTGTAGTTACAAATTTGTTTTCATATGACTCTTCTCCTCGATGGGAGCTGTGGTCAACACGCTCCTTGTACATGAGCACCACAAGTCTTTGACATGTGAATGACACTGGTGCAGCTTTCTCTTCTTCATGAATAAACGAAAAGAAAATCAATTTTCAGCTGTTTCATGAATAATGTGTTTGCTCTGGACTTCTTAATGAGATCCCCCTTTTGCTTGGCTTGTCGCACGCGGGAGCACAGAGCAGAGAGCACAATACACATCCCTTAAATTGCGCAGTCACGACGCTGCCGTCCTACTTGCATGGACAACTAGTTGAGTAATTTGCTCCAGTTACCACGTTGAGCTTCATCTTTCTTGAGATTCTGCAATTTCCGTCCTGCCTCTTTCTTTGTAGCCCGCATGAAATGTGGCATCACTACTGTTGGCCGCATCTACATGCCGAGATCGAAGGTCTAGGCCATATTTTGACACATAATGGAGTAGCTAGCATGAGAACCACCAGGTCCTAGCATCTTTGGCAGAATTCGTGCGATGCTGGAGCGGATCAACCGTGTGTAGGGGCAGTTGAATCAGCAGCAGTGGCAAAAGACATACCCTCCAACCTGAAAGCCAGGCAGAAGTATTCTGAGTCACTAGTCTTGACGCCCAACTTATGCAGCGTCTGGCAATGCCTTGACCAAAATAGTAATATAAAGGTCCGGAACACGAGCGCCATGGCCAAGGAGTGCAGCTGACTTGATACTATGTAGGCGCACCTCCTGGACAGCCAATAGGCTCACGAAACTTTGATTCACTTCATTGCCACACCTAATCATGGAGTGGAATTTGATCTTCTCCCGATGCACTGTCGGCTGGTGCTGAAAGTCGACTGAGTCATGGGCTGTCAAGCGACCAACCATCTCTGACCTACTGACGACCCATCACATGTTTTTCTTATCAGCGTGTACACCACGAATAGTCAAACAATAGTCCTCAAGTCAGACTGAAACAGAAAATGTTTCTGATAAATGACATGGGATTGTGTTTTGATCAGATGCATACCTTGGAGTCTTGCAGCCGTGTAATCTGCCAGTCTCTTGAGATAACTCTGTTCTCGCCGTTGAGCTTTTAGACTTGAAGATGGAACTGAATGAAGAAAAACATGCGTTGAAGCTCTATCTGATGCTATATATCTACTGTAGAAATATTCAATATTGATCTGGCTCGCTGAGGTCTTGTGTTGTGTGGATCTGTTCCGATTTTGTACAGCGCCTAAGCAAAGCGGCCTTGCACAGGGCGTCTCCCGACATGGGAGCATGGAGCAAACCGTCTAAATAAAGATATACCTTGGCAAAAGCCTGCCTAAATAAATGTATATCTAAATATCTGCCTGCCAGAGGTAAAAAGCTGTGATTGTAGGCCTATTTAAGCCCTCTCCCCCGTCATATCTGCTCAACACTCACCATCAGCCATACTCATCATCAGCCATACTCAACATTATCAATCATTTCGCTCCGTCACAACATCTAAACAACCGTCAACAACCGTCAAAATGTCTGATTACTCTGATTACTCTGATTACTCTAATGGCTCTGGTTCCTCCTCTAAGGACTCTGCATCCTGTGATATATGGGTCCCAGAGACAATTAAGCTGGTGATTATGGCAGCAAAAAGATTATCCGAGGATTACAAGAACGACAAGACAGAATTCAACAAGATGATTGCCTTCAAATGCGCACACAATGCAATCATCCTGGCCAGAAAAGATTCTGTTCTGAAAGACGAAGCTCCTTCCATCATGAAGGAGATTGCAGACTACTTTGATGATGCTGAGGACAAAGCAATACTTGATGGATTTTTAAACAAGGCAGAGATACGCCTGGTACCAGTGAAGTCGGAGCTGACCATTCATGACTATCTTTTGATCTCAAAGGGTGAGCCGTGGGGCTCTGAAGATCCTGTCAAAGCTAATGAATCAAGTGATTCAAAGGCAGTGATTGATCAAGCCAACCCAAAGAAGCGGGTGGTAGTGATTCATCAAGACAAATCAAAAAGGCTGGAGGTAGTGATTCATCAAGCTAAATCAAGAAGGCTGGAGGTAGTGATTCATCAAGTCGATCCAACAAAGGATCTGAGGCCAATTATTCATCAAGACAAGCCAGAAAACCGAGCCCAGTGATTCATCAATCCAGAGGCTGAGCTCTGGGGCTCTGACGGGGGACGATTTAGCTGAAGGATCCAAGAATGCACCTCCACCAACAGGTTAACCTTTGGATTTGACTGTGGTCACAGGTGTCATACATCTCTGATCACGGACGACATACACTTCTGGTGACGGGCGACATACAGCCCTGATCACGGGCGACATACACGCTAGCCCTTTTATCTACTTGAATTTTGTCTCCTTTGTCAAATACAGCTGTTACTAGATAGCTTAGATACAGATTGTTAATCAAAGTGCGTCGCTTTTAATCTTATGGAAGCAAGGAGTAATCACAGTGACTGGCATATTCCCCGACATACAAGGGCACTCAACATCGCTTTGGTGCTATTGAAAAAGTCTGTGCGGAACATAAAACATTTATTGATTCGTCTTCCATACTACTACTAACCCCTAAAGAGTCACAACACTCACATTCAGCACACCCTCGGCCTTTTGCAGGTCGTCCATGACCGTCTTGTCCACATTGCCGGCAATGCCCAGAATCATGAGTGCTTCGTCACCTGCCTGCTGCTGCTGCTTCTGCACGTCCGTTAGTGATTCCTGCGAGGGGCTTGACTGCAGTCCGTCGTCAGTCGGCGGCGTCGAGTCGCCGCGGAACTCGGCGCCCAGCGCCGCGACCTGCATGAAGCGAATGTTGATGCCGTGCGAGCCAAGGACGGTGCCAACGCCGCCAATTTTGCCAGGCTCATCGTAATTGTGCAAAATGATGAGAGTGCCCTCGGGTTGGAATGCGGCGCTGAAGCGACCAAGGCGCGAAATGTAGAGGCGCTTGTTGGCCGCATAGCCCTCGATGACTTGCGCGCCACCGCCGCTCTGGGCATCGGAATCGTCGTCGGGGTGCGACTTGAGCGTGACGAGGTTGGCGTAAAACTGGTTCTTAGCCGAGTCGTGCGCGTGCGTCTCGCTTATGGTGAGGCCCTTTTCTTTGGCGATCTGCGTGGCGTTGACAATATTGACGTTGGAGTCGCTGAAAGAGGCGACGAGGCCCTTGACGAGCGCGGCCAGCAGTGGTTTGGTGTTGGGTAGCCCGGCAAGCTCACCGTGGTAAATGAGCTCAAACTTTCGGCCGCCGACCATGTTGATCTTGTTGCCGGCAAAGTGCTGCGTGTACAGCTTGCCCATCTTCTCGACGAGGGAGACAGAGGGCTGCAGCTTGCGGTACTGCTCGGGTAGGATGATCGGGGCGTTGACGGCGCTGGTAGGCAGGCCACCGCGGAGAATCTCGAGGACCTGGGTGCATACATCCATGGATACATTTTCCTGGGCCTCGACAGTCGAGGCGCCGAGGTGCGGCGTGGCGACCACCTTGGGGTGCTGGGTCAGACGCGAGGCGACAGAGTCGGCTGTAGGAGGCTCCGAGGTAAAGACATCAAGACCGGCGCCAGCAATCCAGCCCTCATCTAGAGCTTGCAGAAGAGCAGCTTCATTGTAGACTCCGCCTCGCGCCACATTCAACACTCGTGCCGTCTTCTTCATCGTCTTAAACTCGGCCTCACCAATGAGGTTCATGGTCGTTGCCAGCAACGGCGTGTGAATGGTCAAAAAGTCGACGATAGGCAGCATGTCGTGCAGGCCTGGGTACAGCTCTACGCCGGCCTGCTTGGCCATGTCTGGGTTTGCGTACGGATCGACGGCTACGACGTTCATGCCCAGACCTTTGGCCATGCTCGCGACGCGCAAACCGACTTTTCCGAGTCCGACGATGCCGAGCGTCTTGCGGCCGACTTCAATGCCGACTAGCTGGCCGCGCTCCCACCGACCGTTCTTCAAGCCGCCATCAGCGCGTGCGACGTTGCGCGCTGTGGCTAGCAGCAGCGCGACTGTGTGTTCGGCGGCGGCGACGATATTGCCGGCGGGCGAATTGACGACGATGACGCCGCGAGAAGTGGCGGCGGGCACGTCAATGTTGTCGACGCCGACACCGGCGCGTGCCACCACCTTGAGCTTGGCGCCCGCAAACAGCACCTCAGCAGTGACTTTGGTCTCGGAGCGCACAATAAGGCCCTGGTAGTTGGGGATGATTGCGAGAAGCTCTTCGGGGGCGATACCCTGGCGGACGTCGACGTCAAAGTGGGGGGTCAGCAGCGCGAGACCGTCCGGCGACACCTTTTCGGGGACGAGGATGCGGGGCCGAGAGGCCGGCGAGGGGCCCTCGGCGGGGTCTAGGGCTATGGGGGTCATCGAAGCGGCACCAGTGTTGGAGGTGATGAAGTTATCAAACATAGGATAAAAGAAATAGGATAATGATGACCGGATTCTTTCTTCCGTTGGCGTTTTTGAATAGGGAAATTCTCTCAGACCCAATAGGAAGTAGCAGGAGCGATCGTCTGGTTCATGGAGGGGAAAAGCAAGAGAGGAAGGGGGCAAGGCTGGCTTTTAAATAAATTTAGTTTGACACGGCCGAATTCATCCAAGTCGCTGCCCATCGCAACTGCACATCCACCAGCCTACCACACCTTGATGGGCGACACCTGGAATCCCGCGAGTGAATCACATCCACATAGCCTTGTTTCGATGGAACCTTGAAGCGGGAGCCATGATACTATCCATATAGTTGTACAGCTTCGAAGGAGCTGGCCCCCCCTTGTGCCGGTTGAAATGGGCCACGTTTTGCGCTGCCAGCGGATGGTGCAGAAAAGGATCAACGGGTACCTCAGCTTTGACCCGTCGCGTGGCCATGGGTATCCCGCAATTGCATTGTTGTACAGTTACTTACTCCATACTGCATTCCAGACGGGCGCGTAGCAAGTGGCTGTTCACCTGTCTCACTGTTCGCCTGTCTCAACTAGTCGTTTGCGTGCAGAGGTAGATTTCGGACGGCATAATCTGGAACAAATCACAGCTCCGCATTGTAGCCACCGAGGCGGCCGTGACGATATGCGGCAGAGGTGCGCATACAAGTAAGGCGAGACGATATTATCATTTTGCGGCAGACGCGGGATCCTGAATAATTTTTGTGATATTTTGTTGCTATTCAGCGTGTAGACCATCTTCTTACTGGCCGCGCAACAGCTTCTCGAACCGAATCGGGCCAGGCAAAAGCATAGTTGTCCACCTATTGTCAATGAGATCTACCTTTGCAGCGCCACCTATTTGCAGCCCTGTTCTGGATGTAACCAAGGATGTTGCAGGCAGCTGCCAGGCCGCACAAGGGAGACTTTACCCGACGCAGACTTTGCTGTAAGTGAATGCGGGCGGGATGCAACTCTGTGCAAGTTGAGCCCGGGCAACTACAACCCCTCTTTCCTAGTGCCTCCCGCCTCAAATCCAAATTGAACTGACGCAATCTTGATAATCTCAAACTACTACGAATAATGCCCTCCCCGCGCTGTTCAAGACGGCATGGGGGCGCAGATGTGAGACACGATGGCTAGTTAGCGGCTCGCTAGTCAACAGCGGCCGTAACTCGCAAGAAATGAGCGCAATCACGCTCCTTTGTTCTCGTCTTTATTATCGGCAATGATTCCCGGCTGGTGCCCATTCCAAATGTCACGTAGATTCAACCAGCCTGTCCGTGTCGCGCACTCTCATCGGCACCGCAAGCTCGGCACTTGAACACCATTCCAACACCTTGCTGGCCTGCGGAAACTCCACAGTGGCGTGGCTAGTAAGCATCGAAAGCATATCGACAAGCTTATTTCGCAAACGTAAATCGGGCAAAAAAAAGAGGGTGCATGCAACTGCCGTGACGAGCTTAAACCGTGCCGATCCCATTGGACGAGTGCCTGCCAAGAAGAACTATGCTTTTTTAAAAAAGAAACGAATATCACTACAGAGCTATTCTGCCTGGAGCTGCCTGTTTAGGATTGGACCGCGTGCTTGGATCCATACTTGTCGTTCTGGATCACCTCGACCCAGTAGCCATCAGGGTCGAGAAGAAAGGCAATATTCTTCATACGGCCATCCGTCAGCCTCTTCTTCCAGTTGCAACCCTTTTCTTCGAAACGCTGGCAAGCAGCATCAAGGTCGTCGACGGTGATGCCTTGTTTTTCGTGTTAGCGCATCTTTTTCATTCTTGCACTTTTGTCCAGAAAGTGATTTCTTGTTTCTTTTGCAGGGCGCAAGACTCACAGATGTGGCCAAAACCTTGGGGCTGGTCGTTGCCGTTGTGGTACTTGAAGGACTCGTCCTTTTCGGTACCATAGTTCCAGGTGAGCTCGAGCAGGCCTTCACGATGGCTCGTCTTGTCGTCGGTCGGCAGACCCTGGTCGGCGGGATAGGCGAGGAAATACAGGTTGAACCCAGCAGCTTCGGCCTCGTGCTTGCGAATCAGCGACATGCCTAGAATCTCTTGGTAAAATTTGAGCGACTTTTCAATGTCCTTGACGCGAAGCATTGTGTGGTTCTACATGAAGAAGAAATACATAATTAGTCGAATCTACGCCATCAAAGCTGGTTGATGCTCACCATGCGATAGGTACCGGGGTCCGTCTCGGTGACATTCTCGGTCTCCTCGACGGGCTTCTGGCCGATAATCTCGACCCAGTAGCCGTCAGGATCCAGGACAAAGGCAATGTGCTTCATGCGGCCATCGGTCAGCTTCTTCTGAAACTTGTACCCAGCGTCCTCGATGCGCTTGCAGGCGGCCTGCAGGTTATCGACACTGATGCAGGTGTGACCAAAGCCGCGATGAGGTTCTGTGTTGCCGTTGGCGACCTTGTAGTTGGGGTCGTTTTCGGTGCCATAGTTGTGTGTGAGCTCGACGATGCCCTCGCGATCGACAAACGAGTTGCCATGAGAGGCGGCCTTGGCGCCGTCGTACGCCAGAAAGTACAAGTCAAACTTGGCAGCGGGTTCTTGGATTTTTTTGATGACACTCATTCCAAGGAACTCGTAGAATTTCACTGCAGTTGTTAGATTGCGTGACCAAGTCTGCTATGGCAGTTTGATTTTGACCTACCCGACTCCTTGGGGTCCTTGACCCGGATCCTGATGATGCATTAGTCAACGGCTTGCCAAAGAAGGCAGATTCAACCAACATGACCTACATGGAGTGGTTGAACTTGTATTTGCTGGTGTCGGTAGTGGTCGCCATGATTGTGAATCTACAGGCAGCTGCAAGGTGAAAATGGGGTCAGTGTGAGACACGGCCGATCTCGAATGAAGCCGGGCACACGCACCTGGTACTGATGACTTGGAGATGGGTTTAACAGGGCTAAGCAGTGAGTTTTGAATCAGTCGTAGTCGCTGACTGGCTCTTGAGGTGTTCATAAGTTGATGAAATTTGCTACTTTGTAATGTCTGCTTTGTAATGTCGACGCAACTGGTGATGTCAACCCCCGCATCAGAAGCTCTGACTAGCTCGAGGTGCCCCTCCACAAGCGACTGCAGCTCTGAGGATAGGCGCGGCAAGACGCGGGACTATTGAGTTCTACCGGAATTCTACCACGATTAACTTTATTGCATAACAAAGGTGTTCAGATCATGAGACTTGATTGGACATTTGTGCCAATTGTCACTGCCAGTAATAACACCTACTCCGTAGATGTATGTAAGGTACGGATACCTTACCAAAATAACTGAGGCCCCACCGTCTTAGCCCTGAGCCCTTTCGTCGCGGGATGCCGGCCAGCCAGTAAGAGCCAGTAAAAGGCATTCAACGGCCAATTGACGCCCAAGTAAGGCCAGACGAAAACCAATAAACGCGGTTAAAGTTTGAGATGATGGCTAGAAGGGAGATCGATATGCAACTGTTCGGCTAGCTCACTCATATTGGCTCTTGTGTGGCTGTCAGTGGCCCTCCACAAGCCACCCAGCTCAGCCTACAGCGACCTTGGTGGGCCAGCTTAGTGGATGCCATGACTGTCGTAGCGCCCATGGCTCAAGCTACCTACGTAAAGCCATTGAACCGTATTGTTGCTTTTACATCCTCGTCGTCTTGTTCTGCTCGTAGTTCTCTCAATCTCGATCTTTTGAACCTCGCCATCTCTCGGCACCAACAGCAAAGTCGTGCGACTCGGTACTCTCCATGGCACCAGCTACCCCGACCTGCGAGTGAGGGCACTGCTCTTCGCCATTGTCCGTTTCCGGAAGCCTGCTACTCTCGAAAGAACCGCAACGCGCTTTTGGCCCAATGGTCACAATCACAATCTCGTGTATCGTACCACAAGATTCGCACCCAGATTTTCGCCCTCCATCAACGCGTTCTGATAAACCCCTCAAAAGGAAATCTGAGCTCGCCTCCACTAATTGGCTGGCTACTGCTGCCCGGCCATGGACACCGACCCAGCGCCGCACGAGGCAACAGCAGGTGCCGAGCCTTCCAGGGTTCAGCAGCACCTGCTCGGCCGCCCTGCAACCCTGACCAAGTCAAGATCTCTCTCCGACGGTGGAGGACCGCCGCCCAAGCTCTCCCCGGCGCCGCATATTATCACATCGAATCGTCGCACCTCCAAGGACGACCACGACATTGACACCTTTTCCAACGCCGGCGCTGCAGCCGCCGCCACCACACTGGCAGACCATCCCTCCACACCAAAGCGGTCAGATGTTCGTGGCTTGTCGTCTCTGCACATGCAACAACGACAGCAGCCGCCGCCGCCGCTACGAATCTCGCGTGACTCTACACCTCCTCCTGCGGCCACTGGGACTTGCGCATATGGGAAGCCGGCTCCTCTGTCCCCCAAGCTCGACCACTCCCACATTTACGCATCTCCGACCAACATCCTTCCACGGCGATCACGAGGCCTCGACTTCTCTCGCGCTGCCACGAGTCTACATCATTCCACCCTCGCCGAATCCTCGCCCGAGTCTTCGCCCACTGTTGGCGGCCGTGGAATGAACATACCCGCTAGGAGAAGGGAGTACAGCATAGGTGCTGAGCATAGCCTGCAAGCCTCCGCATCTCTGTGGCCCGTCGCGTCCGGCAATCAGGAGCGAATGACGATAAGCAGCTCCTTGGGTAGCACCCAGGCCATAGGCACTGACTCGTCGAGCTCCTCCGAGGACGATGACCTCATGGACGAGGACACGGATGAGGCGTATGCCACCACACCGCAGATCTCGAGGACGGGTCCCGGAGGAGGGGGCAATCCGTTTGGGTCGCCGGCCGTGGGTCCTCTCGCCAGCTTTCAGAACCGCCAACGGCCGAGGAAGCATCCTAGGAAGAAGGTGCGCGGGCCACTCGGCCTTGGCTTCAACATTAACGCGTCGGCGCTCTCACGTTCACCCCCGGGTAATTCGTCGCGCGCGCGTCGGGAGAGCATTAGCTGGCAGGCGAACCAGCTGCACATTTCGAGCGGTGATGGCGACGATAGTGGCAGGAGCGATGTGGACGGGCCATCTGGCGATGTCCAGCCCAATGTGACGCGAAGGGCTGTTACGCGTCGTGGAAATCTTTTAGTATGTGGGAGGCGGATAGATGCCATTTACACGTCTGAGTGCTAACCCGAGCCTAGCCGAAAACCAAGACATTTGCCCGCATCCGAGCCGCCTTGCTTGAAGAAGGTGCACCGGCCGAAGCAGAATTTCGTCGAGAAGCCGAAGTCGTCAAGCAAGTCCGCGAAAGCGATGTAGATCGCGATGCCCGCCCACCGACAAATACCTTTGACCTGTCGCAGGCTGTCAGCGCGCTATCGTCGCCCAACATGGTCAACCAAGACACAATAGAAGAGCCTGAGGAAGATTTGATGCGAGACTTGTCAACAGGCTTGTCCAGTACTTTTAAGCAACAACTTCTGAAGAGCAAGTCCAAGTCATTTTGGGACACATTTTCCGAGTGCAGCAGCACTGGAGGTGGTGGGCGCGCTTCTCCGCCGCCGCAGCCATTCATACCTCGAGAGCCATCTTCGGGCATGAGTGAAGACGCGGCCATGGATTCGCCCTCTTTTCCGCTTTTCCCAAACTACCAGGTTCGTACTCTGCCGAGCCCGGAATTAGGCACAGCCGCACTAACAGGTGATCAGCAATTGTCGCAAGCTCCTGCTATCGGTCCTCAACCCCCTTCTGCTGCCGAAATTACGCGCCGCATTAACAATAAGCGCCGGCGTGACGACGACCTCGACCCCGTGAGCTTCAAGCGGCGAGCTGTGAGCCCCGGCATGAGCGCGCACAACTCGCCCATTGTGCAGAGCCCCCTGCAGCGGGACAATATCCAATGGGGCTCCCGCCCGGGCAGCACCGGCGGTGATAGAGCCGGCAGCAGCGCGCAGAGCGACTCGGGCAGCATGGGAGGTACCACATCGGGCACGCCCAACGCCGGCGGCCGTCTGAACAATAACAAGGGCAGGGTGGGCTTCCAGGGCATGGTGGACGCCAACGACGCCATTATGCGCATGAGCATTGAGTAGTGAGCATCTTTCAACTCTTGTTTCTTTTTTGCATTGTTTGGGATCAGCGGCCACAAAATTGAGTTCCTGCGTTGCATGATCTGGCGTTTCTGTCACTACTTTAGCACCGTTTGCCATCCTCAGCTCTTCAGGCAAAGCTAGAGTGACAAGGTTTGCTGTTTTCTTACTGGAGCATTTCATCATTTTTTTTTTCGTAATAGGGAATACCATCAAATACGGCGTTTTTGTTATCCGGTCATGGTCGCATTTATGGTCTATAGCTCAGACTTTCCAAATATAGATGATCTGGTACCTTTGGTAGCTAGCGAGATGCGCAGTAAACACAGCAAACGGTTCTGCCTCGCGGCGAAAATTTTGCTTGCAAGATTTAAGAATGGTAGAAAACAAAGAAACAATGCAGTGTAGAATGGAGTCGTCGAGAACCCGGATATTCTTTTTCTCTTCAAAATAAGAACCAAACGCCATAATATATGCCAGACAACAAAACAGATGAGATGAGAACAAGAAGAGTTGTGAGACAAGGATTTTGCAGCAGCAGCAGAAAACAGCAACACAGACAACCACTCTCGTTTAATCGGCTCCGGTGCTGTCCTCTGGCACCGTCAGCGCGCCGAGCTTCTCGTCCAGCCAGCGCGCCAGCTCAGCCGCCCGTCTGCGCAGCGCCACGACCGACGTCGACGCCGCTGCCGACGCCGCCGCGCCCACAGCCACGCCCCCCTCATTGTTCGCCGTCGTTGCCGTCGTCGTCGTCGCTGTTGTCTGCTGCTCGCCCGGGTTCGTCAAGCTCTCCGTCTCGCCAGCCATCGCTGTCGCTGTCGTCGGCGTTGCGCTCAGCAGGTCCGCGCTTTCTAGCGCCTGTGTGACCGCCGCCACGGAAGCATTCGTGGACGTTGGCGTCGCAGCAGCGGCAGGCGTTGGTGAGGAAGAAGACGAAGTAGCGTCCTGCGAAGATGACGGTCCGACGCAGACGAGTAGCAGCCCGCATTTGAGACGGCGAATGATGACGGTGCCGCCGCTGAGCTGCACGGTTATGGTGACGGGTCTGATGGGTGCGGTAGCGGTAGTGGCGGCGGCGGCGGCAGCGGCAGAGGCTGGAAGCGGTCGCTGCCCGTCATTGTCATCGTCTGAGCCGTGCGCCGTCTCGTCGTCGTCGTCTTCGTCGTCGTCGTCGTCAACCACGCTGCTGGTGGAAGACGAAGAGGGCGAGGCTCCCGTCGGCAACGGCGGAACGGTGGAGGAGGATGTTGTGGTGTGGATGGCGAGGAGCGAGGCGGCGACGGTGGCGTGCGTGCGCAGGACGGCGACGGGCTGATGCAAGGAAGAGGCGTGCGCGAGGAGCTTGCCGTGGTGCGTGGTGAGGAGCAGCGTGGGCAGAGAGGGTGACGTGTGGGCGCGGAGAAAGGCGTTGAGGCGCTTGGTGAGTAGCAGCGGCGTGGCCTGCGGGAGGGCGGCCATGGTGGTCGGGGGCAAGTTTGTGTCGAGAACCTGGGAGGGCGCGCCTGGCTTGGGTATGTTTGAGGTGTATTGGAGCTGACGGCGGGCGGAATTGACTCGGTGCGAGCTTGAGGGTCAGTCGTGGAAGCGGGATCAATGTGAGAAACGACTGTGCAGTGTGCGGGCGTGGAAGAGGAAGCTTTGGAGGAGTGACGCCTGGGGAGCTCTTGTGGGTGTGTGTGTGGTTTGGGAAAGGTTTGGAGGGTGGGTGAGGCTGGTGAGCGGGCACGGGATCAACTTGGCTGCAAACGTCCGGATTGGGTTCAGTGTGGTGCGACGGAGGCAAGCTGTGGCCACATGTAAATAATTCTGCTATTTTTATATACATGTCCATTGAATTCTTCCTAGCTGTCATGTGCTAGAAGTCCTCCGTTTCCTTTTTTTTTCCCTTTTTTGCGATTTTGTTGTTCTTACTGTGCCGCTTCAATCTACTAGATTGGGAAGATAGACCGACGTCTGCAAGTCTGAGGCGCTGCAATACAAGACCAGAATCCGCAATTGATCGATCTTTCGACTAAATAGCTCCTTTTCAAGAAAGGGCGTTTATAATTAGTCTTTTGAGTGCCTACCAGCCCAGGAACTACGATGCCCGACCGTTGATCGCTCCACGGTGTTAAAGCTTACTTGAAAGCGGAAGGCGATTCCGATCACAGCGATTGCCCCTGCGACGGCATTTTGGTTCTCAATTGCACGATAGTGGTACTATGGCAAGCCAAAGCAACGATATCGATCTATATCAGGCTCATCGATGAAAAGAGACAAGGTAGCAAAAAGATGGAATTGCCTCTTCATCGCGATTGATGCCAACAGCGCAAGGCAATAGCGCGATACCTCCCGCTTGTGCCCGCTTCGACTCATTCTATAGACTGATGGGAAACTTGGTTCTGAGACCTTCGCCGTATTTGTAGAACAAAAAAGGAATCGGGCAGAACGCCAGAGTAATAAACGCCAACAAGCTGTTGCCCCAGCCGAGGCCCAAAGCCTCGTACATTGCTGGCCCTGCAAGAGGCAGCAAGGCACCAAACAAGCTGCGGAGTACGGTATTAGCAGCCAGTGCTGATGCTGCGGCTTCGGCTCCAAATGCATCCACTAGATACAATTGGGCCGGCATGGGCGTCAGAAAAGCCCCGAGTCCGATGACAAGGGTACCCAGGATCGGGACAATCCAATGCGTGACCTTGTCTGCACTCCATCCGTACCAAAAGAAGCCAATCGGTATAACTGGTGTAGACCACATCATGAGAATCAGTCGAAGTTCAGGCCGCTCCAGCTTTCCCTCGCGTGGCTGATGCAAGAGTTTGTCGCTTAAAACGGCGAACAAGACGATACTAACAATCATGCCAATGCCAAGACCCAGGTATGCGAGGCCAGAAGTTTCGGTGGCGAAATGGTAAGTTATTTCAAAGACTCCAGGGAAAGTAGTAAAAAGAAGGTAAATGAGGCCAAACATGAAGGCTGTGTAAAGGGACAAGAGAAAAACCACGGGAGAAAGGAAAAGCATCCTGAGGGGTCGGATGGAAGCGCGCGCGAGGAGTTGAGTCGGTGTGCGGTTCTTGTCAAAAGTTCTCGCCTGGAGGAACATATTACCAGTAGACTTTCGCACTGACGCAGCTTTGCGTTCGAGAAGAACGGGTTCGAAAGTCTCCCTCATCAGTCATCAGGATCAACGCAGTCACGGTGACGATGCCGGCCTGCATCGCATTGTACAGTTAGACGTATGACACATTTAGCAAGTTGAGCTCATCTTTACATACCAGGATCAAAATTATCCAGAAAGTCCATCGCCATCCCAGACGTTCAGTCACGAAGCCACCAATGACTGGGCCAATTACTGGCCCGAGAAGTGGTCCGAGGGCGAAAAGGGCCATGGCCTTTCCACGTTCTCTCGCGATGTAGAGATCCGCAATCGTTCCTCCACCGACAACCATTGGAGCAGAGGCAGCACAGCCGCAAATAAATCGAAATACGAGAAACATGGCGGCGTTGCTGCTGAGAGCGCAACCGATTGTGAAGGCCATGTAGACAGCATTGCAAGTATGGTAGACGACGAGTCGGCCGTAAAGCTCGGACATTGACGAGAGGAATAAAGGCCCAAAAACGTATCCAAGAATGTAAATTGACACAGTAAAGGACGCGACAATGTTGCTAGTAATGCCAAATTCTTTGACTAGTTGGGGAGCGCCTGGGGCAAACATGACGGCGGCGAGATTCCTGAAGAGATAGTCAGTAATACAATTTTCAGTAACATGAAGTGCGTGAAACTCACGAGTAGAGTGTGAATACACTGATAATTAGGACATGCATCTGCTTTGTACCCTTAGTCCAGTTTCGTGGATGCGCAGGGTCTTTGGGGCCGTCCCAGTCAACGCTGTCAGGCCCAGCTGACTTCGCTACAGCTACCGTGCTCGATGCATTAGCTTCTGGGTCCATAGTGTATTGTTAGGAAAAGGGTAGAAAGCTGTCTGATGTATGGATGTATAAGGTTGTTTTGAAGATGATGAGATGTGCCTGCTCAGGTAGTCGTGGGGCCAATGGTCGATGTATAGAGGATGATGTTGGCAGAGTAGGGACGAGGGTAAAAACATATTTTTTAAAAAGATGCCAATTTACATAGATTAAGTATCTACATGGATGAGGCTCAACAGCCTTGTTTGCGCGGTGCTCCGCGATGCTCCGCGGCGCTTCTACCAGATAAGGCTGTATGTATCCCATGTTCAAGTTGGGCAATGTCTGCTGTCCCACCGAGACATGACAAAAGACAGGGGATATATATATATATATATTTAAAAAAAATGCGACTAAATATACCGATACTGTAAGGCGAAGCATATACTTAAACCATATTTTCGGTACAGCTCTGGGCATCCGCCGGCACCACTGGCGCTTTTCTGATGGGTAACTAGTTAGCTGTGTTTGGGGGTAGGTACACGATTCGAAAGCCAGTAACCTCTGTTTGATGGCCATTCGAGATAACGATAAAGCACTGCGTCTATAATCTATATGATTATCAATGATTGTTTACCTCTAGCCATCGACACTGTTAGCTAGCTGTTGACTCTATGAACTGCCTGTTTGACTAGCTGTTGACGCTGTTGACTGCTGAATTGACTGGTTAAATACCTAGCGGACGAGCTGTTACTGAAAGAGCCATGTACATAGTTGCCTCCCCAATCATTTAAATATTAAATTACAATGCGCACGTTCAAATGCGTTTTCCCCTCACCTAACCCTCTGACAGTTCCAGAGGAGGTCCATCACGAGATCCACTACAATTCAGTGTCCCAAAGGAACCTTGCACATGTCTTAATTCTATGAATATTTAATGTATTATCCTAGTATCTTTCTACGCCACAGGTAAGCTACGGCCGCACCGTCTTGTACTGGGATCAAGTAGCTGTTAATCTTGCCCTTTAATTGGTCAGAACCCCTGTAAGTGGCTTTCGACCTCCTCCCAAACTGTCAAAAGGATCGGCTGCCGTATCCGCGGAGGTTCGGAGGTGGCGTTGGTCATTTGCTTCCGTCTGTTGAACAAGCTCCTCAAGGCAGTTTTGATCATCTCGCACCAAAAATGGTTACGCTTTCATGGTAGAGCCGCCATGGTTGATAAAATGGATTCACGAGAGCAACCGCGCGAAAATCTGCGTGGCCATTTAGAAGCGCCGCCTTGCAAGCTACCAACATCTTCGTCACGGCGCCGGGACAAGCTGCAGCTCAGCTGCAACGCGTGTCGGAGACGCAAGTAAGCCAATCAAACTCTCACGAGCCTCATTTTACCATGTCGAGCCATTTTGTGTATTTTCTTTTCTTTTATTCCCGCTCACTGAAAACTGCCCCACCGTTGCCTCGTGCAGAATCACACCTAGCCCGCCGGCTGACGCTCTCGCTGAAGAATACGCTGCGATCGCATGCTCCCATGCAGCAATTGCTCGATACGGGGACTTGGGTCCTCGTGTGTATATGCTCATACAATGGCGCCAAGTTCGTCTACTGCGCCAAATGATGCGGCCCAGGACCAGGCTCCTGCAAGTATGCAGGATCGCATCAACAAATTGGAAAGCCTGGTCTTGGATCTGATGCACCAGACTAGCCCAAGCTCTTGTATGTTGTTTGTTACGGCGCCGTCTTCTTCGAAGGGCATGATGTCTTCAACCAAAGTCACCAACTAATGCTACTCAGCTGCATCACCAATGCCGCCTTTACCTCCTGACCAAGGTTGCCAGTCAGGCACGCATTCTTCGCGATTAGATGCAGAATCAAGAACCGCCGGTCTTTCCGCATCATTTCGAGATGAGTCGCCTTTACCTTTAGATTATGGAAGCTTCAGGCATACAGAAAAGATTGTCAGCTACGTCAGCAGTTCACACTGGGCTGCAGTACTTGACAGCATCGTCGATCTTCGTAACCATCTTTCACAGGAGGAGGATACCATCCTTCCAGTCCCGGAATTGACGCCAGCGAATTCTGAAATATTGAAGCCGCAGCTATTTTACAGCGGGCAGTTGGACGACACAGTTGCCTCAATTATCAGTAACCTACCTCCTCGTCCTACTGTTGACCGGCTTCTATCTCGTTATTTCAACGACCTTGATATTGCCCCTGGTAAGCATGTGTAAAGGCTTCGAATCAATTTGCCCCCTTGTTTAACAACATGTCACAGGCGTTGTCCACAGCGGGCAATTCCTCGCCGAGGTAAGTAACTACTAACACTACATTTGGCACTGCTGCTGTGCTCTCACGCATTCGACATGAAGAAAAGCGAGCCGACTAATTCTATTACTAGTACGAAGAGTTTTGGCGCGCCCCGGAAAGTGCATCAGTCGCGTGGGTAGGTCTCTTGTTCAGCATCATCTGCCTGTCGACGCATCTCCAACAAACATCCCCAACGCAGTCTGGCCACGAAGGCAAAGGTTCACAGCTATCAGAGAAGAATCGCCTGATTGATCTCTACAAGTCCCAATCCATAAAGTGTCTTATTCTTTGCCGATGGACAGAAGGCGGCCCTCATGTTTTAGAAACCTTGATACTTTACTTCCTGGTCGAATGCTTTCACCTCCAGGACATGCAAATTGGGATATGGGTCTTGGTGGGCAACATTGTACAAATCGCGATACACATGGGCTATCACCGAGATGCGAAGCATTTTCCATCCATCTCACCTTTTGTGGGTGAGATGCGCCGACGAGTCTGGGCCATGATTCTGCAGCTGGACTTTAGTGTGTCATCGCAGCTCGGCCTGCCGCGACTCGTCAGAGAGCAGCACGCAGACACGGAAAAGCCAAGCAATCTGTACGACATGGATTTTGATCTCAGCACATTGATATTGCCGGCATCAAGACCCGAGACTGACGTCACCCCGACTCTCTATGTTCTGGCTAAGCTGCGTCTGCTTGATGTCGGGGCCAAGGTTGCCGATTTGGCCACCGAACCTCGGCCGCGCGCATACTCCGACATTTTGAAACTGGATCAAGAAATTGACAAAGCCCAGGACAAACTACCGCCCATTTTCAAATGGACCGGGCTCGCACTCAATGTTTCCTCCCAGATCATGATTCAGCGAATCTGGCTGGAAGTCATTTGCCAACAGCTGCGAATCGTCCTGCACAAGAAGTATTTCAGTCTTGTTCAGCCACAGCAGCAATTCAGACACTCAAAGTCGACATGTTTAAATGCAGCATTGAAAATATTAGAGCTGCAGCGGCTGATTGACCAGGAAACCCAGACAGATGGCCTGTGGTATCAAAGTCGCTGGAGAGTATCATCCGCATTCAACAACGACTTCCTCCTAGCTACGAGTGTTCTTTGCTTTTACCTAAAGACCTACGATAAGCTGCCGAAAGGAAGTTTGCATGACAGTCCGGCGGATGTCACTGAACAGCCTGCGGATTCCGACAGCATCAAAAAGTCTTTGCAACAGGCACAAGAGATTTGGACTCGCCAGTGCGCAGATTCAAAAGAGGCCAAGAAAGCTGTCGCAGCCTTGCACCACGTTCTAGGGCCCATGGGCGTTAATTCACAGCTGCAATCGGACTGCGATATGCAAAACATTTCAGGGCATTCGTCTCTGTCAACTCCGGCCATTTCGCACTTTTCAGGCAAGTACTGTTGTCATGTCCTTCGTGGCAGGGCTGCAAGCAGTAAGTATCTGACTGACAACTGGCAAGGATTCGATTTTAGCGATGCGACTTTTGGTTCAGTTGACGGATTCAATTGGCAAGGATCTGCGGCTGATCTGATCCCGAGCAACGAACATTGGGCCGGTGCAGGCGATTTGTAGCAACGAGACTTTGCGGCTTGATCATATTTGATCTGGTCTGGATATAATGATGCGTCGATGAGTGGTGCAGACGTCACCGTCACCAACCCAGACCTAGCACCTTGTCGGGGTCCTCGTCGGCGCCGACAGTCAAGGCGGCGGAGGCACGGGTTATATTTGTACTTGGGAGGAATGACTCTTACTTCAAATTAATCAACGACATCTTTTGCGTGTATAGTAGAGGGGTAGACCTCGTAGCCTACCGCCATCTGTCTTACTATGGGTGCGCCATATAATTTCAGACGGAAGAGCAGAGCCGACCTCGGCGTCCTGACATTACTGAGCTACACCCCTGACTAGCATTAATTTTGTCAAATATTCTGGCCCCACCTTGAGCTGGGTCTGCGGCCCCGTCCGCTGCGGGGCCGGACCGGCTGCCCGAGAAGGGCGAGCACCACGTGAGCTTTCATATTGCCGGATATTGCTTCGGGAGAGAACTCACCTTCCTAAATAGGGCAATTGTTAGGATGATGTGCCTATTGCGGGGTGCACAGCCCTATAGTCAGTCATGGTAGTGATATGCGACGAATCATGCATCATGCATCATGCACATACATAATGTGGATATACACAGCCCTGCTCGCAAAAACACAACAATCGAATGAACCAGTTCGCCGATGAGGCTCGCAAGTGTCCTCGGCTCTGCCGGAGAATGTAAAGCCCCCCCATGATACTTGTCCTCATGCGCACAGCCTTGCTTGGCAGGCTAGGGCTCTACGGCAGTACATAGGGCAAACCGTCTCATAATGAGTTAAAAAAAGGTACAAAACAGCGGAAAGCATATAACAAAAAACGGATATATACAGAAAAGAGGTCTCTGTAGCGAGTATATATTTTTAGTCCTCCGTAGTGCGCTTTGTATAGCTTCTTTATATTGTATTTTACCTTGAAACCACCGTCAACCGTCCTTTCAAATTGCCCCGAATAATCCCTCAGTAATTCTTTAGGGTGTTTTCATCGTATAGATAGTACTATCTAAATTAGTTCTACTGAAGCCGGATACGAGTTACGAGGAGACGTTTTGAAACAGCTTCTGCCGTCGGCTCCACCCGTCGCCTCGGAGTTATGCTATAAGCGGGTGCGTACCGTGCGTACCTGGCTACGAACTTCGGGCCCTCAAGGTTTGGACCTCGAGTCTTGGCGTGATGCTGTGCTCAAGTACCTTGATGACTGGTCTTTGGACGGCCGGCCGCGCGGCAATGGCAGATATGTTCTCTCGGTAACCTAGAGACGAATGTACTCCAGCGTCACTGATCTCCTTGCGTAGTGCAGCATCCATTCGACGAAGCCGCGATGAGCAGTATTATGGTAACGACTCGCGCATAAATGGTATTTATGGTTTGGGGGACCTGCAGTGTTGGGGCACTAATGCAACAAAACGGGCTGATCCGGGAACGCTGGTGTAATTGCCATTTTGGTAGCAAATTATGGACAGGGAACACTCGTTAATGAAACCAGACGATCCGGGTTAATTGCTGTTTCCAAGACTAAATTGTTGCCCTATAAGCGACTTACGTACGCCCTGGTGTCAAATTGAACCTTAAATTTGGAGAATGCTGGACTTTAGTACCTTTTCTCCGAGTTTATCGTGGGAATTATATCGGTATGGTTTCCCACTCTATACCTTGACGAGTCATGCGTGTATAGTCAGGTGAGGAACATGACGCCATGCGTTACAACCGTGATAGCCGCAACTCAGTGTCCACGAACAAGATCGGATGGAACACCCGCTCGGCAGATGGCAACTATCCAAAACTACCCAGCAGCTCTAGCCATTATCCTACTTTCTTGTAGATGACTCGTAATACCCAGCTAGACAGGGCAATCGGCGGAACCCTTGAGCCACCAACCCTAGCTAGCATGGAGATTATACTTGGGGACTGATTTAGAAGCTCATGCTCAACTTGTCACAATAGACACTATCCGTATGATTATTCTGGCTGCCCGACGCTTCCGTTCCGAGTGATGCTCCAATGTATTGGTTTTTCCTGCTGTTTCAAGGAAAAGTAGACTACTTGGTGATGTAGTCTTTAAATTGACTTCATTCTTGACTGCCTTTCCTATAAAGCCTCGCCTCCCACCACGCTTTGTTTACTCAGTCATCAAAGACAGCATCACTCATTACTTACCTGCTTCCATCTCTTCAGCTCCATACTACGATAGAAGTGCACAATGCAGCTCACTCATTTGTCTCTTGCCCTTGGGCCTGCTCTGCTTCACATGGCAGCAGCTGCACCGGCCGACGAGCCTCTGGGCAACCAGAATACGAACGAAGCTTATGGTCTTTTGACCAAAGGGCAAGGGTAAGCGGCTCTTGAAACCTTTCCTCGCCCAAGCTGCGAAGATGCTAACTCGGATTCAGCTACAACACTTTCCTTGAAAAGGGCAGAATTGTTGACGCCGTCATCTGGCCCAAGAACAAGAAGAGAGCCGATTCAGATGCACCTGAGAACACCCAAAACGAGATTGGTTTCGACTTCGTGCCTCCCACCACCGGCTTGGACGACTTTGCGGGTATCGATGCGGCGGAGTACTTTGAGGCCCCCAAGCCCGAAGAGGTCGAGGCCCGTATCGCTGAAGAGTTGAAAAAGTTGAAAGATGAGAAGAGGAGGAAGAAAGAGGAAAAGAAAAAGTTGCTTGCGTCGAACAGCCTGCAATCTCGCGCCGAGGACCCAAGCTGCCCGGGTACGGTGCACAAGGAGACCAAGTTTATCGAAGACTACAAGTATGTGACCGCTACATCGAGCTTCGCAGAACTAGGACTAACATGTGTTGCATTGCAGAACCTACCTGAAGACTCTCGGTATTGGCGGTGGCGCTACCATCTCAGGCTGGGGTCAGAGTGCTTCTGTCTCTGGTAATTACCTGGACCAGGCCAAGGTGAGTTACCTGAACGTGAGATTCTTCAACTTGCATGCACTAAGGCTAATATCTATGTGTAGTTCAACAAGAACAGCTTGACATATATCGCCGTTATCAATGTTGAGAGACAGAACACTGAACCTGGCGGATTCCAGTTTAACACGGCGAGATACAAGGCTGGAAGATTTGCCAAAGACTTTGGTGACCGCTGGATTCATGGTATGCTCTCCGGATGTCATTGCCATCTCCTGATTTGTTCGTTAACCATGATAAAAACGATTAGGCTTCAAGACTGGTGGCAGGATGGTTGCTCGCGTCACGTTTACTGCCACGGATGACACCAAGTCAACGGACCTGAAGGCAAAGTAAGTTTTGCCTCATTGCAACTGACAAACAATACTAAGATTTTTTTCCCCATTTAGTGCCAAGACGGCATTGAGCTTCTGGGGTGTCAAGGGTGACTTGACCCTCGACGTCAAAAAGGGCATGGAAGAGGTTAACAAGCACACTACTGTCGAAGTTTCACTCTTCTACCAGGGCGAGTTGGGTGCCATTATGAACAAGGAAAAGTCCCCCAAGGACATTTCCTTTGGATCTGCAGAATCAGTACTCAGCCAGGTTAAGACGTGGGCTGACAAGTTTGAGGACTATGTCTGCAAGCAAAACTTTGCATACGGGTAAGACATGGCTGGATTTACTACTGATGGCTAATAGACCTATTAACCGCTTAATTAGTCCCCTTCTGGATGAGTACGACGTGGTCCCAGGCTTCAGTGACCTAGACGACGTGGAGGTTCCTGATTACGACTTCGTGTCTCTCTATGTACGTTTTATTCCGTACTGTACCTGTATACTCGTACTAACCCATGATTTCAGTCTATTGAGATTCTGTCCCTTATGGTGAAGATTGAAGAGCAGAAGAATATCCTAGTCGCTTGTAAGTCTTCCACTTCAACTTCATGATTGGGGCGATCAAATGCTGATTTTTTTTTTCCTACAGCCAAGGAAATTGACGACACCAAGAAGAGTGAAATCACGAGGGACGCCCTCCAGATGATCGGTGAAGGCAAGAAATGGGTATGCTAACAACCTTGTGCACCACATATCACGATTGCGACTTGTTGCTAATCCCTCCGGTACTAGGTCAAATCGGCTGGTCAAGATCCGGAAAAGGCTGCTCCAGAGGCCGCGAAAGTCATGACATCTCTTGGCACCAATTTCATCAACAAGTACAAGGCAGACGTGACCTTGGCGCTCAAGGTCAATGATCCAGCCGGCTTTGCGAAATGCAAGAAGCTTGCGAACCAAAAGACTGTAGAGTGTGTCAGAACCCACGGCAAATCTCAAGAAGGTCAAGATGTGTTTGAGTTTTGCGCCAAGGTAGGCAAGGATACGATGGATCAGTGCAGAGCTGGAACTCTCTAAGTATATATCGGCTAGCTAGCTGGAGCTTTGACATGATTGTCGCAAGGCGACTAGGGATCCGAGAAATACGCACTTGGCAAGACATCCGTATTATGAAGGCCTAATCAAATTGAAATCCCACTATCGGCTATTTCTGAATTCCTATACAAAGTGATTGTAATTGATCGTGTTGATGCTGCTATTTGAGTGCGGGCAGACGGGCTATGGCTACATTTCAATCGCAAAGTTAGCTCCACTAGCCATATGTTCTCAGCAAGCACCATTACGCTCTCCAGTGACTGCGTAAACTCAACGACTATCGAATCAAAAGTCAGTCAATCATCGCCAGCTAATGGTCAACCAGTTAACCATCAGCCAGTCAATCGACAGCCAGTTACCTAACAGCTAATCAATCAACAACCAGTCAACTGACACAGCAGTCAATCAGTAGCAGTTAATCATCAGCCGCCAGTCAACTAGCTGCTAGTTCGGCTGACTGCTAATAAAATAACTTGCTGCTGATAGACTGGCTGCTCCTGACGGATGTGGCTAGCCAAACGTCTTCGTCTGGCCAAATCCAGGCATCTGTGACGGGGCTGCTGAGCGTCATCTTGCCAGGCAACTCTACCGGTTCTTCAGCTGATAGCAAGCTCTTCCAAGGCGTAGTGGGCGGGGTAGCGTTCTGCGGGTTGCTCGGCTTAGGCATATTTCAACTCTACAGACGGCGCGGGACAGCTCGACCCATGTCATGGCTATTTGGAAAGCAGAAGACAGGCCGGTTGGATGGGACTCGTATCTCGCAGCCTATTGATACAGTCAATAGCCTAGGCTGGAACTGGCTAACGCCTAGATAGTCGCGTCTGAGCGTATTGTCGTCCTTTGCACCATGATGTTGATGACCAACGCGGATGCAAGTGGCTTACAGCCTGATTTGCCTGTATTGTAAGAAAAGCCAGCACAAGAAAACGAATAGTATGTAGGAAGCTGTGGAGACTTTCGGGACCAATGACGTACTTCGATCAACTGTAGCGTTAATTATTACAATAGTAAATATTTTCCTTCGACTGGCTTATGATCATGGGTTGGTTGCTCGCTCTGCGCTGACAGTGAATGTGATCCTAAATAGGTAGCGCATCACTCATGCGGCATAGTTACTGCATGTGTTGCAGCCATCAGCTGGATTCCCAGACGCAGCCCTCTCATTGGCCCAAATCAAGATTAGACCCGCTTTTGTACCTGGATCAGTTACTGGAGGCAAGAACCCGCAACACAACAAGAAGCAACAAACACCAACCCAAACCAACCCGTGATACGTACGTTATACTCCCTGACGGGACCAACAGCATGCTTTGACGAATATTGCTTCTCAGCGTTCTTTTCTAGCCGCCATTTTTGGCCCGCCTCCCCTGGACCGACGCGCGAGCACGCATAGAAGTGCTGCGGCCCAGCAGCGTGACCATGCTCGCACTCATGGCTACCTTCTCGTACCCTCGCCAAACATCCAGCGTGTACTCAATTTTTTTTTTTTTTTGGCTCGATGATCTTCTTGGGCAAAATCAACCAGACGGAGGAACACTTTAGACGCAGCGAGGTCAATGCGCTAGCGGAGAGCATCGCAAACAACGCATGGGAAGGATGAAGTAGCCGCCGAAAGCACGAGACGGCCAGAGAGCGGCGAGAGCATGCAGTCTCTGGAGCAGCGGCTGATAGAGGAAAATGCCGAGCTACAAGAGAGGCTCGACAGCGTGCGAAACCGCTTCGCTCGTCTGTACAATGCAATGGAAGTGGCCATACAAACACCCACCCACAAAGATGGTCGTCGTCGTCAAATATAAATCAGATGGCGATGCGGGTTTCTGACAGACATGGCGACAAGTTTACTCGGTATATAAACATACTTGGTAACAACGAGATGGACGGCCAAAGGATGATAGATGCGACCGTCAATCAGTTACCGCCGACTGCGCTGTCTGGGCAGAATCTCTTCGTGGGAAAACATAAGAGTAGGAGAAAAAACAACGCAGCAGTGAGCGGCACAGCACTGTCGTGTCGTGGGTTACCTTCAACGCGTGGGTCGTTGGTTCCCAAGGCCTGGAGTGAGGCCAACGGCTGGAAAACCGTCCAAGAGGTTGGATTCGTTGGATTCGTTGGCGCTGCGGCAGTGCGTCCTCACACCAATGACCGTTTTACGTGTCTGTGGACTGCGCACAAGGCAGCAATAGCCTTTGGTGGTTTTAGAGTTGCTGCTTGTCTCGCTACATAGAGTACAGAGCTAACGTGTTGTGGTGGTGGCTTTGCATTTCGTCGCTCGCTGGCCGAGCCACCACACACAGTCTGACTTTTTCCCAATAATCATCATCATCGGAAGCCTCATCCATCCGACTTTTTATCCACTCAAACATTGCAGTACATCGTCGCCATCAACAGATCTCACAGCTTTGCTACGCTATTCGTTTTTGCTATGCTACAGATGCCAAGACGGCGCCCGTCCTCGTGCCGCCGCGGGCTGCAAACGCCACGAGCACCACCGCTTTCCGAGGCCGACTTCAAAGAGCAATACGCCTTCAAGCCGTCGTGCAACATTTCTCTGTACGGGGAAAACCTGTCCCGCTATCGGCCGGGCGGCTACCACCCCGTATCCCCAGGCGACACCTTCAAGGATGATCGATACGTCGCTACGCGCAAACTCGGCTGGGGCGATTCATCTACCGTCTGGCTGGTCAAAGACGCATTGTATGCTCCCTTTTCCTTACTCCATCCCTCTCACTCTCTGTGTCTTTCTCTTGCCGCAACTCTCTTCATCTTCGTTTGCTGACTTGATGCACACAGCCTCGATCGGTGGGTCGCCCTCAAGATCTTCATTGCCGAGCTCAGCACGTCAAGACAGCCAGTCGCCGCCACCAAGGCCCTGTGCTGCCGCAAAGACACCGCCGAGTTGTTCCCAGCCCTCTACGACAGCTTCTTCCACGAGGGTCCCAACGGCGTGCATCTGTGCCTAGTCATGGAGCTCCTCGGTCCGACTCTCTGGAATCTCATGACGTACTTTACAGATATATGCGATCGCATCCACCCGGAGGATGTGCTTAGACTTACGCGGCAAATCTTGAGCGGCGTAGCTACGTTTCACGGGGCTGGTATCGCTCGAGGAGGTAAGTATCGCGACCAAGTCATATCATCATTGCGCATCCCCTCTCCATCTGCTCCCCGTTCCTTCATCCGCCCCTCTCCTGATTTGCCCCCGGACGGCAGCTAACCTGCAGCACACGCGCCAGACCTGAATGCCTCCAACCTCGTGTTTACCATTCGTAACCTCGTAGACGACGATGCGCTCTTTGAAGCACTCGGAGAGGAGAGTCTCAAGATGGAGATCGTACGCAGGGACGGCGCGCCGCTCACTGCCCACATGCCACGCCAGTTCCACGACACGCCCGACTGGCACAGCTGGGTCGATGAGGACGAGGAAGACCTGCGCTTCGTCGGTGTTGACGACTGGTTTCGCACCACCGATCGTATGCCCAGCAGCGACGCTCTGAGGGGCGCGTGTCCTGCGCCGGAGGTGCTGTTTGAGGAGACGTACGACTACCGTGCGGATCTCTGGCACGCCGGCTGCGTTGTAAGCCCCCCTCCCCGCGCCACCGTCGACGATCGAAGCGTAGTCGATATGTTTTATAGCCCATGTCGAGCGAAACGAAAGATGAAAAAAGAAAAGATGGGTGTAAATGAACGCCGCGCTACGCCTTTCTTTTGCGTTCGCCGCGCTCGGCGTGGGACACGAACATATAGGACGGCCGGGGATTTGACTGACAATTTCCGCTTTTAGATACACGAACTCATCTTTCAGAACTGCCCCCCCATGTACATGGGCAACGATCAGTTATACATTACCGAAATGATTGGCTTCGTTGAGGGCCTGCCGCCTGAGTGGGAGCCCGCGTGGCGATGTATCCGCGCGACGTCCGCCCCTCCCCCTGAACATCGTACGTAAAGTCAACCTGAGAACTTTCTTTTTTGCCGCCCTCTCTGGCTGACAATGATAGTGCTGCGTTACCACTCGCCAACGGTAAGCGTCGAGCAGAGTTTCAAAAACAAGGTGCCGGATGCCGAACTCACGCAGCTGCTCCCCGTCATCCGCGGGCTGTTGAGGTTCCGCCCTCAAGACCGAATCTCCGCCCGCCAGGCCCTCGCTCTTCTCTTGTAATTTTTACGCGACGAAAGAGCCGAGCGCGAGCAGTATCTTTCGCGGTATTACGTTGTGAACCTGTCTACCGTCGGGCAATTTCGGCACCCCACCCTGTAGGCGCAGTTGACAATCGGGATAACTGACGACCTTTTTCTTCTCAATGACGATTGGCGATTTTCGCTTTTCACAAGCAGACCATCATCACCTGACTACTCACGCAAATTTCAACGGCTATCCCTACCAGTGCTGTCTTTTTTTTCGCATCTTTATGAAGAAGAAAATACGCGTGGCTGAACTTCGAGCCCACGCGTGATGTTCTGACTAAGGGTACGGCGTATATTCTGCGCGCTCTTTGCGCGGTCTGCGCGGTCTCTGTCGATCACTAGCAGAGTGTGTTGTGGGGGAACCGGCCATGTGTTTTGTCGCCCACTTGCCGAACCCTTGAACCAGCGTACGAGCTATCTTCGTCGATCGTATTTGCACTCTCTTCACTACAGCAAGTACTTCGCCCCACCACATCACATCAATCATCAACAAGGGCCCTAGCATGTTGCGGAGTAATGCATTTAGTGCATTGATTCATCGAGCATACAAATCAAGGTACCCTGGGTGCCAGGAGTCTCCTGGCGGCATTAACTCAGGGAAATGGGTTTGTGACAATCGTTCGAGGTTAATCAGCAGTGCGCCTTCCTTCACTTCATCATTTACAACCGCCCTGGGTTCATTGCGTAACAGCTGGTTCTAGGGAAGTTCTAGTGTCGTGCTCGTAATATAGATTAATACAATCCGTCGTCTCGTACCACGCTCTCTTAACTGGACAGCAATGACCAATTAGCACCATCAATATATCTATGCCAGCATTGTTTATCGTGAATTAGTACAGTCCTGGTACAGGGAATGGCTTACTTCTCTCTAACTCATCACTAATTTTAAGGTCATTATAACGAATATATAAGAGTATCGAGCGGGTACGCCTGCACGTTTATCCGTAGAAGGCTCGATAGCACGTCTAAAAGCCTACTCTAGGGCGCCAACAGACGTAAATAATCAAATCAAATCAAATCAAATCAAATCTGCCATCCAGAGCGGCCTTGACTTGTGTTGTCGCGCCTGTATCTCGAATCAATTTGCTCCCTCCGGATGCAACATTCCCTTCATCTGCTTTCAAGGGACTGGGCACCCTCCCCCCTCCCCCCCTCCCCCCCTCCCCCCCTCCCCCCTTCCCCCCCCCCCCGGGCCGGTAGCCCCCGGGCGGAGGCAACAGTGGTGACTCGTTGAGGCAGGCGGCGTCTCATGCGAGGGCATCCGCGAGTCACGGCGGCAATTCCCGAAAGAAAAGCCGGCCCCCGCATTCCTCTCTCTTCCCCCGCCGGCATGTGAAGGGAGAGACGCTGATTCATACGCGCAGGCCCACCCGAAGCGATTAAACGAGCTCCGGGAGGACGCCAAACGTCTGACTATCCTGACTCGACTCGGCTACACCGTTCCTCCGCGGTTTCTTGGAAGCGTATTCATGGTCGGCGTGAATCAGGACACAGCCGTAGCTCTCGGCCGGGTTTGTCGCCTTCCACCGAGGCGGCGCCGTGGTAGAGAAAGCAGCTGTATATGGTGCATGACAATTCTGCTGGAGCAAGACTCGCGAACGGCTTCGAATAGACCACCTCCCTTTCTGCGTCTTTTCGCGCTAATGTCGAGAAACTGATCTTTCCTGTGTACACCCCACAGTCTTCGAGTCATTCGCAGGCGCAATATCCTGGATGAGGTGAATCGCAATATTCCCCGTTCTGAGTAAGGCCCAATATTCTGATAAGGTAAATCTTAACAATGACCACTGTGTGTAGGGCGCAATATCCTGAATAAGGTAAATCTCAATGATGCCCCTTGCAAGTAAGGCCCAATATCCCGAATGAGGTAAATCTTAACAATGCCCATTGTGAAGGCGCAATATCCTGAATACGGTAAATCTCAATACCGCCCATTGCGGGTAAGGCGCAATATCTTCAAGAAGGTAAATCGCAATAATAACCGTTTTGAGTCAGGGGCAACATCCTGGCTGAGGTTAAAGTCTGTCTTCGCAGAACCCTCTTATTGGTTATGCCGAACCTGCCTTGATTCGTAACAGGACCCCTTTGCTGATGAATAGACGCGACCCTTCTTCTTGCTACCCACTCTCGGATCTTGGTTGCTCGCTGTCTTGCAGCTCACGTCTCCCAGCTCGCGCCTGATTACTCGTGCTATCAGTCACCAACTTCATGGCTTAGCAACAATCATGGGATGCCCGTCTGTGATGACTTGTTGTTTCTGTGATGACTTGTTGTTTCTGTGATGACTTGTTGTTTCTGACAGGAACTAGGCACCAACCGGATTGCTGACAATAATAAGCCAAAGAGAAGAAGAAGAAGAAGAAGAAGACGAAGAAGAAGAAGACGAAAAAGAAGAAGACGAAGAAGAAAAGCGAAACGCCATGTCTTGGGCAGCGAATTAAGAATGAAGAATCAGGCTTGGATGACTCGACCATCAGGCCGCGAAGCTAGGCAAGGCAAATCAAACTCAGCTAAACCATAAGCCCATAAGGAATCCCAACTATCACGGTCCACTAGGGTTACGTGCGAATACATAGCTATAAAAGGGTAAGAATATAGTAAGAACTACTAGAGGAGGACTTCTCTCCTCCAGTAATTAATAAAGTCATTATTAAGAACTACTTACTATACCTTAGCTATAAACTAGCTACTTTCTTATAATCTATCCTTTCTCCTTCTTCGTGCTAGCCGCATTCTTTGACACCAACCTTCTGCAGAGTCAGTCCGGCATCCCGACTCGGTCTTGACTCTTTACGAGAGCATAATAATTTTAGATTACCAACTCAACTGGGATAGCTCAATTTGTTTCAAGTGCCTCAAGCGGAAAAGAGTCGAGACAGCTTCATCATGACTATAAAGAAGGCTGAGCATCCCTTCCGACAAGTCACCTTTTCTCTCTTCTCATAGCCTCCAGAGCAACCATCAGCATAGTGCCAACCTAGTCCTTCTTTATCTCACCACCATTACTTTGACTCTTGACCAAGATGCCTTCCATCTCCAAGATTGCCGCCACGACTCTGGCCGTGACGTCGGCCCTACTCGTTGGCGCCCCGGGGGTCTCGGCCGCCGCCGTCCGTGCTGTCGAGCAGGAGCAGGTCAATTTCTGTGATTGGGACGCAGAAAATGAGCTGGCCACCAAGCTGGCAAGAGATGTCAACCAGGATGTGCTTGACTTTATATTCAACGGTGGTCCGCCGGTGCCGATTGAGCCGGCGCCGCCTGCGCAGTCAGCTGCGGCCGACGATGGCCGCATGCTAGAGGTTGGCGTCTACATGCATGTCGTGGACAATCCCGAAGACAAGAACCTCACCAAGTTTCTTCTTGATGTACGCTGCGTCCGCCTTGCCCCCCTCCCCCTTCCCCTTCCCGCCTCGTCCCTTTCTTTCCCTTGGCTTGTTGTGGCTGTACTAACGTAAGAAACGCCTGTCCTCTTAGCGCTCTGACTTTGACCGGCAAATCGGCGTCTTGAACGAGAAATATGCCCCGGTCAACATCTCCTTCCACTTCCTCGACGCCGACTGGAAGCGGCACGAGTTCAAGGACAACGAGCCGAGCCCGTTGCGCCACCCGATCACGAAGGAACTGCAGCATGGCGACACCAAGACCCTGAACCTCTTCTGGAAAAAGGGCAACACGAACTGGGGCGGCTCAACGCTGACTTTCAACAAGAATGGTGCCAGGACGGACGCTATGTACGTTAACGCCGACACGGTGCTTGGCGGCTCCCATCCCGTCTGGAACCTGGGCATCACGGTCGTTCACGAGGTCGGACACTGGTTCGGTCTCGGCCACACCTCAATGATTCGACCTGGCGACTGCGAGTGGAATTGGCAGAACAAGCCTGGCATGAGCAACGAGTATGTCTGTCTCCGGTGATGATCAAGAGAATAAGATAAGACTGACCCAAGTAGAACCTGTGGCTCTCAATGCGACCACAACTACATGAGTTACGGTGTCGAGTAAGTCTTCAGAGCCGATTCAGGTAAAGACAGCTGGCAGTTTTGGTGCTTGGTCTAACACGTCATCTAGTGAATGTCTGAGTGAGTTTACCCCTGCGCAGATCTCGAGCATGCGCAAATACGCGATCGAACAGCGTGGACTTTAGAGCAAGTCAGTTGCGCTGTATCCCGTGCGATACCTGTGCGTTTGGGATGGGTCGAGGCAACCTTCAAGGCTGTAGCTTGCAGCCCAAGTTTCCATTTGATGCCGAGAGTTTGGAAAACAGAGTCCTGTCCCGATAGAACAATATCAAGTCCTGAGAGAGCACATCTCAATCACCATTCATTCCTTGATTAAGACATGCGCAGACATCCCAACAATCAGTACTGATTGATCAGACCCTTACTGAAAACTGATTGATTACTCGTAGCGTTACTGATACTGATTGATTAGCTAATCAGTAGGTGTGGGAACACTGTGTGTGCTAGGTGTTTCCCTCACGAACATATGATTCCATCACACCCTCGCACACGCCACATCATATACTCCGCTAATATCCCTAGAAAAAGCCTAATGTAGTAATAAAGTAGCTACCAGATGTTGATCTACAATCCTCTACGCGTAAGATATAGGGATAACGAAGCTACTAAACATATATATTAAAAATTAGTTTATTCTTCTTCTAACTTTTAAGGTACTCTATCATCTTAATCGTCTCCGCCCCTAGACGTACACGGTTAAATAAAATAGTACGCTAAGTGCTTAAGAAGATACACTCTACTATATCTAATATAGACGTAATTAAAAGCACTTTAAGAGCTATTTTATATAACCATAGGTATTTAGTCTACTACTCCTCCCTACTCTACTATACTAGTAGACTTAATATAATCTTATAATATAGTTAATAAGTAAATAAC